GTCTCTGTGGCGCAATCGGTTAGCGCGTTCGGCTGTTAACCGAAAGGTTGGTGGTTCGAGCCCACCCAGGGACGACGGGCCTCAGGCTTTTAACGGCTTTGCCAAGAAACAGCCACTTGTGAACAACTGGAAAATGCACGTTCACAGATCTGTTCACAGATCCTTGAGACCCACGTAAAACTCAAGCCCTACCTTCCCCTGTCACAGATTATTCATGGCCAAGCCTTTTTTCACCCCTCGGAATCGGGACACCTGTGGACAACCCCCCCTGCACCTGGCTTTGGTGTATTACGGAATGGGTAGAGTGGGACTCCTTTCTCAATAAAAGAAAATTATTGTTAACAAGTCTCCAAAGCACGGACACAGACTGGATTTTAATAAAACAGGTAAACTTTACACCACTGTTTAAAGATACGCATACGAAAAGGGCGACCCCGCAACGCAACTGGTAATCAGAAAACCCTAGAACCAATTTAATTCGAAAACCATCTGCTGTGGAAGCATAAATCACAGAAACGGGCAGGAGCGGCCGTGTGGTAAGGAATCCCGGGACGGGCCGTGCGGTTTCGGTCTCTGCAGACTGGCGTCCCCCGAAGCCTCCGGACCGCTGGTTTGCTCCCCTGCTTTTGGAAGGACCCGTAGCAGTCTGCCCGCTCCCGAGGGGCTCCAGCCTCAGCCGACAGCAGGCGAGGGAAGTCTGTCACGTGCTTGGGGAAAACACTGCACCCGCAGGAGTGGCATCGACCCACGCACTGCAGTCAGCAGCCGCCCTCTGCACCCGACCTGATGCAGGACAGGCGCTTCCGAAGCGTGGGCAGCGCCCGCCGTGGGGCCTGTGGCTCGCCGTGATCGTATAGTGGTTAGTACTCTGCGTTGTGGCCGCAGCAACCTCGGTTCGAATCCGAGTCACGGCACTCGCGTCCGCCCCAGCCTGCTGCTTTCTTGCCCCTGCGCCCCATACCTGGCTAACGTCTTGCCGCAGGCTCCAGTCTCCCTTGTCCAAGCCCAGCCGACTCCAGGAACTCAAACAGCACTGTTGCAGTTGGGGGCTGTGGTCTTCACTGTCCATCCCGCTGTCTCCGGTGCGCTCATAAATTCGCCTTCGCCGTCAACCGCGCCCAAGACCTAGGACATAGCACCCCTACCCTAATTTTGGTCTTGGTCAGGATGATACAGGGTCCGAATGTTCTGTCTGGTATTTTGTCTTAGCGGTAACACATCACAAGTGGGAAAGCTTGTTTTATGTGTACTGCCCCACCCCCTTGAGAGTAAAATCTTTATCGTCTACATGCTGAATAACTATTGAAGATGAAAACCCGTCCTAACTAAGTAACAAGACTGCAATTTCCATAGAATACACTCTATGATCTCTTCAACACAAGAAAATAAGAATTTTATATATATACATTGTCCTGGCCAAAGAGATCTGAGAAACATGAGCCGCATCCCCACGGTGATCCGTTCTCCAGAGCCCCATAGAGAGACCAACACACTAGGACACTTAACAAAACCTGGGCTCTTCCCAGTGCAGGAGGGCAGACAGGAGATGGATTATGTCTAGATGTGCTCTTTAAGCGTGAGATGGCTTTACTTGAAACGCTTTTATTAGTTGAGTTACAGAACAAATACAATTCGATGGCCTATTTGGAATTAATTTGATACCCATTTGACAGACACTCACGTTTAAAAGTGGTGGAATAATCTCACAGTATAAAAGACAGAGGCTGAAGAAGAGCCTGCTTGATGGACACGCAGAAAACTGTTTTAAATTATGTTCGTGTGTTTGTTTGTGTAAACTCCCATGTGATTGTGAGCACACGTGTCCCAGGATGCTGTGGGGTAAGGCAGCAATTTGAAGGACTCAATTCTCTCCTTCCACACCATGTGGGCTCTGGGAGTGAACTGGGCACGTGACAGACTTCCCTCGCCTGCTGTCGGCTGAGGCTGGAGCCCCTCGGGAGCGGGCAGACTGCACGGGTCCTTCCAAAAGCAGGGGAGCAAACCAGCGGTCCGGAGGCTTCGGGGGACGCCAGTCTGCAGAGACCGAGACCGCACGGCCCGTCCCGGGATTCCTTACCACACGGCCGCTCGTGCCCGTTTCTGTGATTTATGCTTCCACAGCACATGGTTTTCGAATTCAATTGGTTCTAGGGTTTTCTGATTACCGATTACGTTGCGGGGTCGCCCTTCTCGTATGCGTATCTTTAAACAGTGGTGTAAAGTTTACCTGTTTTATTTAAATCCGGTCTGTGTCCCGTGCTTTGGAGACTCGTTGTCCATAATTTTCTTTTATTGAGAAAGGAGTCCCACTCTACCCATTCCGTAATACACCAAAGACAGGTGCAGGGGGTTTGTCCACTGGTGTCCAGATTCCGAGGGGGGGGAAAAAGAGGACTTGTTGTTGTAAATTTCCTTGCCAGATGCCTGGCCATGAATAATGTGTGACAGAGAAAGGTAGGGCTTGAGTTTTATGTGGGTCTCAAGGATCTGTGAACAGAATATAGGAACGTGCATTTTCCAGTGTTTCCAAGTGGCTGTTTCTTGGCAAAGCGTTAAAAGCCTGAGGCCCGTCGTCCCTGGGTGGGCTCGAACCACCAACCTTTCGGTTAACAGCCGAACGCGCTAACCGATTGCGCCACAGAGACGGTGCGGTAGACTACGCGGTGTCTCCTTGGTGAGGCTGGCGTCAGCGCGGCGGCCACACCGGGGACGACCGAGCCCCGAAGCCCCCCGGGCCCGCG